GGGCAAAAAAAATCTTGCACCAGGGCCCTTTGTTCCTTAGGTCCGGGATATACACATTTTTGCTAACACATGGCTAAGGTGCAAAAATGGTTACAGGCATTAAGGTTTGTTTTATCTTCAGCATTTATAGGTTAAAAGAGAACTTTATTAATCATGTTTCCCTCGTCACAAACCCTAATAGTGATAGCAAGACTAAAATTATATACCAGCTAATGTGCACAGAAAATGCATTATACTGAATAATAAATAAATAAATAAAAGCATTTACATCATGGGTCATTTAACTTTTCTCAGATTCTTCTGTGATATTAATCTTGCTGGCATTTTGCAGTTCGAAATAATAAAAAAAATGCTTTGTAGGTAGTGCTTTGAGGGTGGATGTTCTAACAATGTACTAGTGACATTTTTTACCCACTTCCTATTTTTTCATTTTATGGGCTGCTGTATGTATGCGATATCTTTTATGACACAGAGTCACTCATTGTGTATATCGTTAGCAGAGTTAGGGCAATGGACCATTGCATCTGAGCTTACAACTCTGTACACTCCCTGGAATAGATATAGCCATGGGAAGAACATCCAATGCAAATTGTTGAGGTTTTCAACATGTTTGAACAGGCAAACACTAGATCTTTATTCAGACAGTGCCTACAGATAAAGGTGATGTAGTTGAATACGAGCACAAGAAAAATGTGCATGTTCAATAATTTATTCAACAAAAATATTAACAGAAGTAACTGTGTACATTGTAAAAACAAAGTACGCCCTTGGCATCAAAAGTTTATTTTGCCCTTATAGCAAAATTATTTCTTGCAGGCATTTTGTGTCAACAAGTATCTAAAATTGACTTAGTGACATTTTTGACCACTTCTTGATGCAAAATTCTTTCAGTTGCAAGGTGTTTTTGGGTTTCCTTGCATGAACTAGCCGTTTCAAAACTCCATGGAAAATTCCAGTGGGAATCAAATCAGGGCTCTATGTCTACTTTTTGAGCCATTACTTGATTTATTTGCTAGTGTGCTTTACATCCTTCTTGTGTTGTAAGAATTATTTCCTGTTCAACTTAAACTTTTGATCTTAGGCCTCACATTCTCACGAAGCACATTTTGATATGATTTAGAATGTATAGATGACTCGATTGCTGTGAGCTGCCCAGGTCCTGAAGCAGCAAAGCAACTCCCAAACAATAACATTGCCATTATCATGTTTTACAGGTGTTTTAAGGTTATTCTTCTGAAATGCTTTTTTTTTGCACATTGTTCTAGAAGGCCTGGTCTTAGCCTAAATGTCCAATAGCAAACTGTAATCCTGCTCTAATGTTCTTTTTGAACAGCAGCTAAAAGTGTAATCTCAAAATCAAACTATTAACCAAGTGCAACCCTGTGAGAAACACATTATATACAATACAAATGTACAAACAAATATAGGTGCTAAAATAAAATGTTATCATCATGATGACAAAAAGCTATGCTCCATGCCCCTGAAGAAGTTCTCTGAATGCAATGCAAAGGGCAGTGGTATTACCTTACAGAGAGGGGAGGAGCTTATGTATGGACTGCGCGCTGGAGGGAAATGCTGATACACTGTCTCCACACAATAGCTGCAGTGTGATATCCTGTGCATGGAAGAGATCACACTGGATCTAGTGAGTGGTTTTAAATTGTTAATTTTAAATTATTATATGGAAAGCACTATGTGTGGCTAATGCTGTTTGATGTTTCAATAAATTATACTGCATAACAGAGGATTGGGGAAACTGCTAATGAGGATTTGACCGGAGTACTAGGTACTAAATGTGTTTGAACTGGGATTAACACTCTGGGTCCACACAGCAAGGTGAGAGTATTACCACAGAGGTAGAAGGGAGGATTCACTTATAAAGAGCAGTGGTAAACACTTGGAGTTGGCAATCAAACACTATTACAGGATTGAACATTATTTCACATTGGTGGTTATCATATTACAAAGAGCAGCAGTCACAGGGCTGACTATTGTTTCACATTTGTGGTTTCTAGATTATATCTTTGGAAGATTTGTTTGTGTATTGGTTAATTTTAGCACCTATATTTGTTTGTACATTTGTATTGCATGTCATTTGTTACCATTTAAATTTTTTGTTAGGCTCACCCAGCGCTCTACTTGTGTAATGGTGGTTTTGTTTGTTAAGTATATCCCCTTTACCTGTAGGCACTACTGGGATCAAGAGCTAATGTTTGCCTGTTTGAATATGTTGAAAAAGTCAACAATTTCCATTGGATGTATGTACTTTTTGCGAACCAGGAGATAAATTACTATTGGTAGGAACAAAAAAGGTTAAGTATGAAACTGTGCTAAAAAGCTAGCTTTTGATTGAAGCTCATCTACAGTTTTACTATAAACATCAGTCTTGCACAAATGTAAGCCTTACCAAGATCCAGGTGAATTGCAGGAACAAATGAATTGAGAAAAAACATAAAAATTACAAATCCCAAGACTGACAAACACTTGATTAGAAGGATCTTGTCGGTTATTCCATGCTGTTGGGAAAACAAGTTCTTGTAACTATAAAATATGTCAGTTCATACATGTCACTTCTAAAAGGGAGACAAGCTGACATAATGACAACACTAAAGATACTGTAAGCTGTTTTATAACACAAAGTAGATCCCTATTAGATGCCTGAAATTTTGCAGCACAGAAAATCACCTAGAGAACACACCTTTTTTAATGCAAAATACAGGGAATAGTCAGATTTTGAACGAGTTCTAAAGTCCCAGCATATACTATCATGTTATAACATCAATATTGTAATATTAATACAGATTATAGTTGTTTTTTATAATGAAATCAAAGCTTATTAAAAAAATCTTGTATGCAGCGAGCACTGGAGGAACTACCAGGCCCTGGCGTTCCGCCTGTTGGGGGAGCCCAGAGAAGCAAAGGGCCTGCAGCTCGTGAGCTGGGCCGCACAGAATCAGCCTGATTGTGTGCGGCCTGGCCTGCTATGCCCGATGCATACGGGGTGCGCTATGATTTCCACTTCTGTCATTGAGAGATCTTTTTGAGATGAAGTTGGGCTGTCGGTAGAGGAGAAAAACGTTAAGATCAGGATTGGTCTCATCTGAAGGAAGGAAGATCACAGCTTCAAATAGTGTGAGGAAGGAGTTTTACCCTATAAGAAGCGCTTTGAGACCCAAGGGTCTAAAACACAGAGATGAGAGGCTTATTTATCAGAGCACTGGTGTTTTTTATGAGCACTTCAGCAAAAAATACACAAGTGGGCATAGTGACGCACAAAGAAAGACTAAGACAACCCTTTTTTTTTTTTAGAGAGAGCTGCCTGCGTTTAATGAATTTATGGACACTTTGGGGTTGATTTACTAACCTTATAAACACACCACGAACGTGTATACACCTCTGCAGTGTGTTCCCTCCCAGCATGATCTATGGGTGGAATCTAAACACCTTTGTAATGTGTACACACCCAGCAGGTGTGTTGTGCAAAGCCCTGAAGGAATTCCAAGGTGATGTTGGGTAAATTAGCTCTATGTTGTGTTGCTTGCGTTGATGAATGCAAGGAATGTAAATGCATGAGCTAACCATTTTTGTCTAAACTGTGAAGCAGCATTATATATGCATCATGTGCATGATTTTTCCATATATGGCATTAGTGGAAATATGCTTTTAGAGACTTTTTGGTTGATAAATACGTTTTGCTGTGTGAAAATCACACACACCTGGTGTGTGTGTGTGTGTTTAGGTTAGTAAATCACCCCCTTTGTATCAATGATGTGTTTTACACACTGACAAAAGTACTTACTTGATTTTTGCACATATTTGTTTACTTGTTGGGTGATAGCGCCGCTTCACATATTTAAATGATATAAATCCAGAAATACATATTTACTTTTTGTTTTTGACCATAGATACCTTTTAACAATGGCTAGACAAGAATATTTGTAAAATGAAATATTTAAAAAAACTATACCACAAATCTTGATGACCAGGGATGGACTAGAGAAGGAAATGTTAAAACAAAACCATCTCCATCCTGGTTTCAGAGACAAATGTTTGTTGCATCTTGCAACAAGCATATAATGTGACTTCACAGGAGTCAAGTGAAAGGAAAATGTTTCCAACTTTACTGCAAACTATTATAGGCACTAAGCTATACAAGATTTTTTAAGGTGATTCTTTAACATTCATTTATCCATTCCTCTATATCAACCTTTACTAGATTTCTGTAAATATAAAGAAACATGTTTTAGGCATAAAGAATTATTGTATCATAGTATTTAATAAGCGTTATACAACTTTTTTCCAACATAAAAAGCAAGAACCCTATCCATCTTTTTTTTGTTCCTCACCTAATCTACTGGTGAGAACATTATTACTGGGACAGGTGTTTTGGTAAACAGGATGTGTTGGGAAACATGTTAACTGTAGCTTCACTAAGGTTTTGTCTTGCTCTCCAGCATAATGCAAGTCTTCTTTGGGCCTGAGAAGAACTCTAGCTATATCATGTTACATATCGTATAATATCCCACATTCCTTGACCAAGCCATTTTACCATGAAAAAAAGACGACCATACCTCCATATCTTCAAGAGAACTCTAGAAAAACCATTGTGATAAGAGTGTACATAATGGGTTCTAAACTATGTGGAAAAATAACACAACCTACACTATCCCAGGAGCTGGACAGAAACATATTTCCATGTTTATGCAGTCCTCTTAATTAGAAAACAAAAACACATACTGTGTATAATTAACCACATCATATCAAACAGTACATACACTCTTTTGTAGTTCTTGGATATTTGTTTCCCAGTTTTTGTCCTCTTGTGAAATTTGTCTGGAATAAAATGGTAAATTTTATGAAAAGTCAAACTTAGAGAGTCTTAGCTATGACATAATGTATCTGAATAGTATGCAAGTTTTTGTGAGTATGGTGTGTGTGTGTGTGTAGACATGTGCTATTTGTTTCATTCTGAATTGAAATTCGGACGCATTTAGGCATATTCAGACATTTGGATGCATCCCAATTCGCAAATTAAAAAATAAATCCAAACGTATCCGAATTTTTTATAACGAAAATTTTGGATGGATCTGACATTTTTTCCAAATGTCATTCAGAATAAATTTATGTTAAACCTTAAAACAAACAAAAAAAAAGCATAGGGTCCCCCCTAGAATGCCTTACCAGACACCAGAAAAAGGGGGGACGAGCGTGCGCCCCCTTCTGCACCATACCAGGCCACATGCCCTCAACATGTTAAGAGCCTCTACCCCACAACCCTGGCCCGGTGGTTGTGGGGGCCTGCGGGCAGGGGGACTTATAGAAATCTAGGTACCCACTTTCATAAAAGGGGGCACCTAAAAGCCGCCCCCTTTTTTTAATTATTGTTTCTCTGGACTGTCAAAATTTAAAAAGAACCAAAAGAAACAAAAATTAAATTCATAATTTCACTTATCATGAAAACTTTGCAAAAATTTAAGATTCGTCCGAACCCCGAAACAAACTGGCTTTCGGATCCAAATCCCAAAAATTTATGTAACGAACAATACGGAACAAAACAATTTTTTTTGCCAGCTCACATGTCTAGTGTGTAGACTGCATTATTCAGGAAACTTTCAACATTTTAAACATATATTCCTATATACACACCTTTGAAATGTTCTAAGTTTTTTCCTCAACAAGCTCTCTAATGTCAAAACTTTTTGCATTAGAAGACACTTAACTGCAGTTTCTTCACGACTAGCAGGATTAATCCTTTGTGCAGTTAACTTCCAAACATGAATTTCATGTTTCATTTCTACAACAAGAAAAAAGTAAAGGTTACCATGTATTCTGAAGTCAATGCTCCCAACACTACAGATTATATTACAAACTGAACACAAATTGTATTCACTATCAAGGTGTTTTGGTTACAATCAAAAGCTCATAAAATGAATCTGTGGTCATAAAAAGTATTTACACATTTACAACAAGCAGTTAATGAGAAGTAAAACTAGAGTTTTCATTGACATCAGTAGCTTGCAGGCAGTGTGGCGTAATGTATCCTAAAAGATCACAATGAAGACTCTAAAGTCAGGTTGCAGTCATTTCTGAACAGCTTAAAGCAGGGGTCTCAAACTCAATTCACTCTGGGGCCACTCGACAATTTATTTTCTCCCATAGGGGCAGCTTGTCAAATTTCATACTTCAAAATAAAATATAACTATATCCGGTATGGTACTTTGGACACTAATACACACACAATAATACACTGGACTAATGTCTTTATTCAACCTCAAATACTATGTAACTATGTAATAAGGCCCCAGTCACATCTGTAAGTTTAGGTGTGATTGGGAATTTCTGTGTCAGGAACCTGTGTTTTCCTGCAGCAGGAATCCCTAATCTTGCATTTACAAGCTGCTGGATTATTTTACTAATCCATCGTTTCGGCTAGTGTTTACTGAAAGATTTCAGAGCACTGGCCGAAGGATCCGAGTGTCAGCACAGAGAAGTAGCTTTGCACTCTGCATCCAACAGAGATGCAGACCATGTAGCTGCTCCCACAAGTCAAGTACGCGGTCCGTAACTCCGTACCTGATTTCTCAGCTGGCTGATAGCCACATAGTACCGGCTCGCAGGCTGCAATTGGCCCGCAGACCGGTACTTTGGAGACCCCTGGCTAAGAGCATTTGTCTGTTTACATAAGAATGCTGGAAGGTCACTAAGTTCCTACTGCCACAGGAAGTGTGGATGAGCTGTGATTGCAGTGCCTCTGTTGTGAACATTTCCAAAGTGTCTGCAGCTACAGAGATCAGTGTGGACTTGTTCTGAAATGGACCTAAATTTTTTTTAAATATTGCTATGTTATAGAGAACATCAAGAAATGTTAGTTGTACCCAGAAGTACCCTGAAATATGTACCCCTTTCTTAAATTTCTCCTAAAAAATAGCAGTGCCTTGAACATCATAGTAGTATATCTGCACTGTGATATCATCTGTGATATCATCTGTGATATCACTGCGCTTCTGACTGCTAATCTTATGAGAATAGGGGAGAATTTAGGTAAAGTCAATACTGTGCTGTTACAATTTCCTTGCTGGAGAGAAAGCTGTATCTGAAGAATTGCAGACAAATATATCTCCCTTTTTTGGCTTTATTTATTCTTTGAATCTGTGCTTTCTAACCCTCTCCTGCTGCTGCTTGACTATTGCTCCATCAGTCATCAGATCACCAGCAATCAAGGAAGCAGCTCTGATATTAGTAACTAAAGCCATGTTCCTCTACCAAGATTGAAAATCTTGGTAGAGATTACAGGCAGTATTAGTAACTACCCTTTTGTCCTTCAGATGCCATTTTTTGGGCAGTGCACCTACATTTCAATTCCTCTTTTAAAACAGATTTAATCAAACTCATTTAGAAATATATAAATATTTGAATGTTTCCAGTCTGGCCATAGGTTCACTTTAAAAGGGAAACCATAAACTATTTTGCTAATTTTGTAAAGTTTGCAAATCATAAAATGTATTAGTTAACCGTATAAAATTAATTTACACATTGTAACAATTTACACAGTATATTACAGTCAGACAAACAGACACAGTATATTACAGTCATTGCAGAGTATACCTTTTTTTAAATTAAACCAGAAGTGACTATTTACTTTCTTACTGTTTCTGTCCAGCTGAAATTTATATGTAGCTGTCTGAGCATGGAAAAGACAGAGGTGTGTCTCTCTGGCTCATTCAGCTGTTTGTGTTAAGAATAACAGATCAAACCACAACCTATTCAGGAGCACAGAGATAGCAGAGGAAAGACTACGTACAATAAAATTGTAATAAATATTAACAAAAACTAAAAGAACTTTAACTCAATTGTCCTCACTGACCATTGTATCCAGTTACTGAGGAGTAATTCATCCTCACATTTTGCAAGAGACTTTGAATAGCACCTGGTATTTGTTTACAATAGAAGGATGGCAGACTGTCCTGTCCCATGCTGCCAGAGAAAATATAATAAGAGAAACTATGATTTCAGTGCCTCCTCTGTTAAACAGATGCATTTCCTCTGCAGTTACAGTGGTCAGTAAGGGCGTGTTGTAAAGCGTGTTAATTGCTTAATATGTAAATATTTTAATGCCTATAGTCAAAGGCACTTTAAGGTGAACCGACATGACTGCCGATGGTAAATATTAAAACATTAATTATATTAAATGTACCCAACTAAAAAGAAACAGCTATGTACATTTTTTTTAAAAATTCCTGGACATAAAGAAAATAAATTAAAAACTATATACATTCCCTTTAAGTTGGCAGCATGCATATTGCTTCAGATCTGGATCATAGGATCACAAAGTTTAACCACTATGTAGTGCGAGAGCCTGCCAAAAAGTAACCACTCAAACACAATCCAGTTAGGCAGGCCCTAACACCACACTGCTGAACTCTGGAAATAGTAATAATCTGACAAAGTTGTAACAAATCTGACCGTGTGTGAGGCACACATTACACCCAATTCTGATTACTGTTCCATTTTTCTCTGTAGGGTTAAATTACAATTATTTTTGGCATAGATTTGCCAAAGAGTGGAAAGAACTGAATTATGGTATTCCCTGTGTCAAAATATTTGATGATTCTCTATCTGAAATATATTTTATTTAATTCAGCAGATGGGCAATTACATTAGCATCTGTTGGCTGTATTGACCAAAGTGTTGTACATTATGTTACCAGAATATCTCAAACTGCTTGCAAACTGCTCGTCTTGCTCATAAAATTCTGCTTGAAAAAAAACTGAGATCAGAAAAACAGATTTGTTGCAGGAATGCATTAATTCAATGACCACATTTCTTTCTGAACTGGATTTTTAGATTATATATGTATACTTTTTTTAATTATTTTTTTCATATTTGTAGTCAAAATTATTCAACCACCATTGCAGGTCAGGTTTATTGGCAACATTTACAGACTTTCAGCTGTTTGCAATGAACAAATCAAACAAAAGCAATTGAAAAAGGTCAACACAATGTTTTAAGTGGTTCCCCAAATTCATCTGAAAAGGCAACTTTTAATTAATTCTGCAGTATTAAAATTATTCAACCCCCTTAACAGAAACTCTCACAAGAGCACACATCTGCAAAACATGTGTTGTCGCAAGCAAACATGGTGCAACTAATCAAGGGCTTCATTCTTTGCACCAAGTATGCTTGAGCTAGAACACATGAAATACCTTAACTGGCTAGGGCAGGGGTAGGCAGCCCTGGCTCTCCAGCTGTGCTGAAACTACAAATCCCCATCATGCTTCTGCCTCTGGGAGTCAAGCCTGTGGCTTGCAATGCCTTATGGGATTTGTAGTTTCAGCACAGCTGGAGAGCCAAGGTTGCCTATTCCTGGGCTAGGGGTTTGTTGAGGGTCACGTTTGACTGCATGACAGAAATATGACTAAATCAAAAGAATGGGGTGAAACAAGTTACGAGAAGAGATCACACCTTTCACAAACAAGGTACAGGATACAAAAAGATAGTAAAGGCACTGAAAGACTCTTTTGGAAGCCTAGTTTGCAAGTTCAAAGTTAAAAGGAACAGTGGTTACACTACCAGGACCAGGCAGAAAAAGGAAGCCATCAACCACCACAACCAGATTTCTGAGAAGTCAGAAGAAAACCCTCGAAAAGACCTGCAGCAACACTTTGTGGTAACAGGCACTGAGGTCTCAGTTTGCACAGTAAGGCACATACCAAATACAGAAGGTTTCCATACCAGAACTCCAAGACATACACCACTACTGACCAAAGAGCACAAGAAAAGTCAGCTCCAATATGCTCAAAATCATATAACTAAGCCACAGAAATTCTGGGATTCTGTTCTTTCGGAAGAAAAATGCTGCATATGTTGAAAAGAATACTCTGTCTACAATTAAGTATATTGGTGGCACGGTAATGCCCTGGGGCTGCTTTGCATTCATTGGCACTGGAAACCTGCAGCGTGTGGAGGGCAAGATTTATCAGGAAATCCTAGAAGAAAACGCCATCCTGGCTGTGAGGAAGCTGAAGCTTGGGCATCATCGAACCTTCCAGCAGAACAGTGATTCCGAGCATACCTCAAATTCCACCAAGGCTTGGTTCTGAAGAAGACCTGGAACATTCTACAGTGGCCATCACACTCATTTGACAAACCCTATAGAAAGTATCTGGTGGGATTTGAAGAAGGCAGTTGCAGCATGCAAACCCAAGAATATTAGTGAACTGGAGGCTACTCCTCATTAGAAATGGGCTAAGATTCCTCAGGATTGCTGCCAGAAGCGGATGTGTGGCTATGCATCTCATTTGCAGCAGGTCATAACAGCAAAAGGGTGCTCTACCAAGTATTAAAGATGCTTGTTGTGAAGGGGTTGAATAATTTTTAGACTGCAGATTTAAAAGTTAAATTTTTAGTTGAATTTTGGGAAACCACTTGAAACACTCACTGTGTTGACCTATTTCAATTGAATA